GGGGGGGGGGGTCAAAGTGGTAAGCGGATCTTTAAAATAATAATTAATTTCAATTTTCATCACATTTTCTTGCCGGTTCGATCGTATTCTTATGCTGGCTCCATATTCTACGACCCTAATCTTCAAGGCTAGTATATAGATTCGGATTCTAGCAAGGGAGGAAGAAGATGATCCCGGTACGGTTGCTAAGGGTATTGAATATGACCCTCCCCCACCTCCTCTGCCCCTCACCGAGATCTGAACCTAATAGACGGGATTAGGGCATTCAACTCCGAGGCCCTTTTGGAATCCCTTTTGAAAAATTCTTGCCAGTCTCCTCATAACCTTCACGCCAAAAGACATTCGAAAGGACCTTAAAAGGGAATCCAGTGAATGCTAAGAAAGGCAGGTACGTACCCGGTGGTTCCACGATCATTACTACACAGTGCTTGTAATTTAGTTCGACAGGTAGATATAGGTAGGCATGCAAAAGGTATAGACCTTAGAACGACGGCGACGTCCCTTCCGGCTAATTTGCCTAGTTGCCCTCTGTTTCGTCCTTTCGCAACTTCCGCGCTCCTCGTGAAATTAATAGGCACGTCAAGGGCAGTCCAAAATATAAAAAACAAACGATCAAAGCTACCGCGTGATACAAACTGCCAAGTAAATTGGCCATGAAACTCCAATCAGTGAGCGATGACCTTTCGAAAGTACATCCGCGAACATCAACCGACTGTGTTGCGACTGTAATTCGTCAGCATTGAAATCCGTACCCAACACGCCATTCAATGCGAGTACTTATAGTAGACGAATGGGGACGTACCCGAACGTCTCGACAATGGTCTCTAGGAAAATAGAAAAAGGAAGTGCGCGTAAAGTCCAAGCGTGACGATGTAATTATAAGGTCAAGGTTAACGGGGAAAGTCAACCTAACCTAAAGGTAGCCACTGTCAGTAACGTTGTACAGGAGGGTCCGAGGTCCCATGACTCGGCAACGACTTTTCCGCTCGATGCAGCCAGAACCTTCGAGTCTCATTTAAATACGTATATTAGCGCAGAGAAATCGTCGACCCGTTAAGAAGTAACAAGACAGCAACCTGAAGGTGGCATAAGGTGCACGGATCCGTCACGGTAAGAATCTCCGGCTACTGTAAAGACGCGTCGAGGATAAAGTAAAAAAGGTATAACGGTCCCAAGCGGATACTCTACGACCTTGCACGGCAATGTCGACTCGTAAGTTCAACCGGAAACGAACTCACCTGTGCCCCTCGAAGCACGGCAAGCCGAGCCTCGCGTTGCTCCAGGAGACGCCGTTGCTGGGCGATCTCTCGCTGCTGCCTGGCCGCCATGCTCTCAAGTTCGCTGAGCACCAGCACAGCGCCGCCCCCGCCCACTGGTAACTGAAACAATCAGAAAGTGGATATATTAAACGGCGAAAGAGGGAAGCGAGAAAAAAAAAAAGGGAATGAATAAGAGAAAGAGGGTTACATTGAAGTCGTAGAATGAAACGAAAGGAATTCACGGAGCCGAGGAACGCGAGAGAGATTTGAATTGAAATAAAATATAGATTCGAGACCGTCGCTGAAGACCGTATCTCATTTCTTTTTCTTTCTCTGGTAACCCGGACGATATGATACTTTGGGTTATGAAGGATAGGCAGAGAGGGGGGAGGATGGTCGAGGGGGAGAATAACGTTAGCCTCACGATTGGACAGGGGCGCCAACCGCGTTGTGGTCAGCCAACCTGGTACCAACCCCTCCTTCGTTTTGAGCCCGGGCATTAAATCAATTTCTATAATTAATAACGTCCAATTTGTAATTACCCCACGTGTCCAAACTACCCCCGTCGATGGCGACTCTCTACCCCGGTCCTCTTTCAGCTGACTGGGTCTTGCCGAGAGTGCTCTTGGAAATTGAGAAAATATGGTCCGCGCGTTCGGCAGAGCCGATCGACGTACTTCAGCGAAGCAGCCACCCCTCCGTCCTGGCTTACGTAAAGTCTCGTAAGGGATGTCCACAGGCGCGCGAAGATCCCGAACCCCACGTCCCCGGGCACTTTAGGAATTTTACCCGCGAACTTTCGTCGTGCTTCGTGCCCTGACAATTTTCGTAGGCAAAGTGGTGGGGTCACAGGGGGACGCGACGTGGGTAAGGAAGGAGAATGGCACAAGACGGAACCGAGCACGGCCCTGCGCGGTTCTCCGAGGCGTGAAATTGTTTTCATTGTTTTTTCATCCCTTGCTTCGCGTTTACCGTCCCCTCCACCACCCTCTCCCACAGCGCAGTCGGTCTCGTAACTCCCCGTGGCTCTCTCTCCCGACGGTTAATTATTTTCAAATTACTGCTACAACCCCCAACACGACGGTGGGCTAGTATATGAACGACAGGACTGGGTCTGCCGCAGGGATATATTTGTTGCTGGTGAAATAAATGGAGGATAAGTGAAACACCATGGGTTGTAACGTAGGACACAGTGAAACTGTATTTCGAGCAAATTACAAGTAGATAATACATTATAACCGGTAGACCGAAGAGAATTGATACTAGTCTCGGCGTTCACGTGAAGAAAATTTTTTAATAATTACATTATCATTGTCTTGAACGTATTAAAATAAATAATAAATAATCAACCACGTCTCGTTTCCGTGATTAATTCGTTTCGTAGAGTCATCGGGTCAGCAGCGACCTACATATTTGGATATACATATATATATATATATATATATATATATATATATATATATATATCGTATAAAAACAGTAAAATTAACATTGACTGTAGATATTCACGAATGCATTGACCATTCTGTCTCTTCCGTAGGGATTTATACCTTTTGAATGGCCCTTATCAATTTTAAGCGTCCTAACCCCTGACCTCTTATAGGGATCGACCGGAGCCGTAGATTTGCCTAGGGAAATTACGAATTCCCGCGCATCCAGTTAAACGACGATCAGAGGCACCCCGTCCGCCCTGACGATCCCCAAACATTAAAACCTTATACGCCCAACACATCAGTTTCCCTCTTATCTCGTTATACCCCGTAAAGTTGGCTATCCTTACAACCCCTCCACTCTTGATCCTTCTTTTGCGACTAGCCAAGTGGATACCATTAAATTGAATTACCTCCCGTCTTACCCAAAAATCTATTCCGATCATCCCTTGTTCATATTACCCTACACCCCATACCCTATACCCACTTTTCACATATTGCAACACCTGTAAGAGCCCTTACGGATTGACGTTATTACTTTTAATAAAGCCCATGTTACAAAAATGTCGTCTATGTACATCTGTACAGGACATCTACGTAAAGACCATCAACTTGGACGACTGTAGAAATAGAATGTAGACTTTGCGACTAAAATAAAAATCTATACCCATGTCTATATAGCTCTGTAGTCTGCCTACTCTAATCTACGTGAACTGGGTATAGGATTTTTGCAGATCTACCGTGGATCTACATGGACGAAATGTCTTTTACAGGGGTGGACCCAAAGAAAAGTGTTTTTCAACGTATCGCAGCATCCGGGAAAATTACTAACGACCACTTCAACCCTTGCGCATATACAGCTTTCGCGACCCTTTTGGTACTTGTGCCCTCTTGAGATTTTACTTGGAAGCAATGAAATGTACGCTTGATCAAAATGAGTGCGAGGGTCAACTATACGTTCTTGCCTTAATAAATTCTCCCGATACTTCGTTTCTCGGGGAACTCACCCAAAATAAGTTATTGTGCTGAATATATGTATATGTATATATATGTATGTGTGTGTACGTGTATATATACTGCGCATTTTTCCATTTTAGGTAGGAAAGTAAATTCGATAAAGCACGTTGGCACGCTTGCGGGTTAAATCGAATTACCGACCCAAAGCCCCACACCGGGCCGAGTTGCGAATTCGTAAAAAGGCCGAGCAGAGAGGAAGTAGGTTGGTACGACCAGCGATTTCCCTTAGCCTAGCAAAATTATCAAGCCCGAATAAGATTAAGTAAAAATCCTCTCTTCTCAAGAGGGTGGAAAGAAAAGTAAGAATACGTTGGGAATCGTGTGAAAAATTTCAAACTCCCTTATCGTGCAAAGGAAGTCAAGAAATAGTAACCGGAAGTTCCACATACACCACGCAAAGAACGTTAAAGCTCGTTCATATATTTTTCTTTAATCTTCAAGAATTTCAGCATCCTCCCAAAAATGGAAAAAAAAAAAAAAATATTAAGGCATCCCGGTCAAACTATGGATACGTCACCCGAGTATCCTGTTAAAACAGTATAGTTTCTCACAGAAAAAGTCAAGTATACTCGACCGGCTGTATTCCTGAGGATGTTCAAACGTAACAAAGAGCCCCTCTAGTTTCCCCAAACTGTATGCATATAAACGGTCAAAGACCTACCTCATTGTTGAGGGGCGTGTCGACGCCGGGCGTCTCGGTCCTCTCCTTAACCGAAAGTAACTTCGGCTTCTTTCGTGACTTTCCGTGTCTCAGCTTGACGGTGACTGTCTTCGTTTTAAAGTTTTCCGCGGGATATACGCAAGCCAACATTTTCCAGCCTCCTCAGTCCCTCCCCTCACATGTGACCAACTTTTACAGTCGTACGTTTAATACCGAACGACCAGGTTAAAAAGCAATGTCCACCGAAACAATTCACAGAGTCCTCGTACCAGCTGATGAAAGTCGATCAATCTAAATTAATCACAGGTACCATCTTACGTAAGATGGTATCTCGGATAGTTACGTCACGAAGCATCCCCTACGCCCTACGAGAACATTTTACCACCGTTAAACCCCACATGTCTGACGTGCCTGACGACGTCTCTGCGCCAAGGCATTCTCTTTCCACCGTATACCCGTGGGACGGGAGTTTCACTAGGAGACGAAAAGTTGAGCCTCCGTATGAATAGACCTGTTGATTTTACGGTCGGCTCTGGGCTTTTCCCACGACAATACCTCTCTCCCC